CCCCCCGGGCCACACACACACACTTTGCCCTGCGATTGCCGCTGCCGTGGCTTTGAATATGGCGTCGCGGGGTGGCTGGCTGGGTCATTGTACTGCATAGCTAAGTTAACCCTGCTGTTGGCGCTGGGTTGGGGTTCCAGCAGCGAGCTGCTGGTGATGTGGCTGCAGGCGTTGCACGCAGGTGGGTGCACTGGGCAGCGGGGTGGCGGCAAGGGGGGAGGTGGTAATCTGAGACTGCCGGCAAGCTACTTCGCGTGCCTCTGGGTCGCTGCGAACACGGTTCGGCGCGAGATCCCTGCCACACTGACCTGCGTCATTGCTTCCCTGGCCCGCTCGGGTTGTCCTGCGTGCTGCACTTGCAGAGGCCCCAACCCCCCTGGTCCCACACCGCCGCTACCAACCCCGCTACTACGCTCTGGGCACAAAACAATCAACCACCCATCTCCAAATGTTCCTCCACCTGCTGCGCCCACATGACCTACACACCGGCCTACGAACCCACGCTCAACACAACGCCAGGTGGCCGCCCTGATGGCGGGGGGCAGGGTGAAGCCCCTCATCGACAGGGTGCTGCCCCTGGAGCAGGTGGGAGTAGAGGGCACGGTGCGGTGGAGTGGGAAAAGGGAGAATGTTTTCCGACATTGAAAAATTGCTCTGTTTGATCATCTGTGGTTTAGGGGCCGCAGCAGTCCTGACCAGCTGTGTCGCAAAAACTGCGCTGTTGGAGCGGAGGTCAAAGCAGACCTGCGACTGCAGGGCGCGGGGTTTGTTCGTAGCCATTTCAATTTGTTTATTTCCGACGTGTTGCCCTCTTGACAGGTGGCAAAGGCTCATGCGCACACTTAGGGTGGCCACGCGCGCAGGAAGATTGTCCTCAGGGTGGCGGAGATCTGTGCTCAGCTCGTGGCCTGCACGCTATCCACTTGCTGCGCATGGCCACCGCGCCAGGCAAGCGCTTTGAAGCGCAATGGCTTTTACTGGTTGACCATCTGCTCAGCAGGGGCGGGGATGCCTGTTGGTGAGTTGAGCAGCACGGAACACAGACCAATTGCCAGGCGCTGCACAATGGCGCTGCCTGCAAGGGTTGCGATGTAAAGGTTTTGGCATCACCAGGATGGTTTCGACGCGGCTAGACTGCCCTGCGCAGCGCTGCGCAAAACAATTGCTTTTCAGCTGTGATTTTGCTTGAACATTCTTGAGTCATACAAAGTCGTACGGAGCGCCACACGCTTATACAGAGTGCGTGTGTTTAAATGTCGGTGTGCTGTTTCTTGTGCATGGGGCCATGCTAGCAACATGCACGCACAATTTGGGGCAGTATGTGAGGGGGGACGGGTTGTGGCAGCAACGCTACCGCTGCCCACAAGGGCTGCTGCTGACGCTTCCAGTAATGTTGACCAGAAAGTGAGCATTCGGCTGCAATCTGCCAGGGGCCAATGGGCTCCTTACACCAGAAGCTGTTTTCAGCCTCCCTCCTGCCTGACTTGTATGTGCGCGGAGTTGTGTTGTCGGCTTGTCGCCCCGCTTCGCTGCAGGCATTTTGCATGTCAAAGAGTGTTGATCAATGACCGAGAACCGCCTTGATATGCGCGGATCTGAACTGTTCTCACACTGCAAGCACACGTTGCACTGTGAGCAGGTTCGTTGGTTGCGTTGTGAGTGCGCCTGGCCCAGCGTGGCAATGTCAAGCGCAGGTCAAGGCCTCTTTGAGGCACTTGTGATGTAACGCTGCACGCAACATTGCCGTGCCTGCATGCTGACGGGCAGATTGCAACAGACGCTCACCTTGAATGAGTGCGCACGCGCGCAAACCGCAGCGTAACCCCAGCTGTCAGAGCAGTGCCGACCATCGCCGTGCGATGCAGCTGCTCGCGTAAAGTAAGGCAGCCTATGGGCCTGCCCTTGTGCAGTGACATCTTACATGACGTTTCCTGGTTGTTTATGAAGTACGCCAGAACCTCGCTGTGCCGAGCTGCAGGACAGTTCAGATCTGAAGGGGAGTTTGTCCCGTGCCAGCCATCCTGTGCAACCTGACGGAGGAGTGATGGAGACCTGGCCCTTTAGAAGAGTCTTTCGTGTCGTGAGTCGCGCAGGCTCTGTGCCTAGGGAAAGATAGGGCAGCTTATGAGTGCTGCGGCACTCACCTCCTGCTGTCATGCACAGGGCTGGTGGGTGCTATGTACGGCAACCCTTTGCGCGCTACCCCTGACGATCTGGGAGTTCAAGAACCAGGGATGGAGCCCGCACTACCAGGGTGCGCATGATAGGCACCGAGGGGCGCGGCTATAAATTAAGGGTTAACAGGCATATATATACAGCAATCGACAGACCTGTTGGGCCGCGTGGGTCGCGCCCGCCGGGCGGACGTGACACGCTGCCGCCAACCCTGCCGGTGCTGAGCTCAGCTCATCAGCTGACGGCATGCGGGTCGCTGCGCTGTCAATGCTGTGCACACGCAGCCTGGTTCATCGGCGGCATATTTGTCATCATGACTATTCCCATATCTGTGTACGAGGTGGGCAGGCTGCCTCGCTCTGTGCCTCGGCACAGTTGCAGCGAGACGCAGGACGCAGTAGGGATTTCGCGTGTGCTGTTGTGCGCAGCCCTGGTCCTGTAATGGAGCGAGTGGCGGCAGTTTGAGGGGAGCACTGCTCCAGCCTTCCAGTGTTGAAGCAGCTGCGCAGCTTCCGCGTGCTGTTGAAATGCCGCCTGTGCATGATGCGGCTGTGCAGTCCCAGCACGCCCCCCTTCTCTCCGCCAATGCCACACTAAAACGCCCTGCCGACAATCAAGGTGGCGATGCACACAGAGTACTACACGCGGCCAAGGCTGCAACGCCATGTCATCCGCATCTTGTGGATGGTGGGTCTTGGGAGGGGCGTGGCCGGCGGCGGGCGAACGGGTCGGTGCGGCAGAGGGACTTGCGGGCGGTCGCGTGCGTTGCTGGTGCGCCCCCACCGGGCGCCCAGCGCCTTGCAGGGGCGCGGCTCAGTTGCCGCAGCAGGGGCGCAGAGCCCGCCCCCGCCGCCGCACAACAGGGGCTGGGAGCCCAGCCCAGTAGGGCCGTGATACAAGGGGCACCACATCGGCGTGTCCGGCGGCGGGCAGCTAGAGGTTTGGGCCCAGCGCCACGCAGCCCGCGGCCGTGCGGGCCGACGATGGCGCTTCGTTGCCACATTTGCTGCAACCCCCTCAGGTCCCCATTTACTCGATCGACGCGTGGCTGGCCCTGCGTTTCAAGGTGGGGCGCGGCCCAGCCAACGACGAAGAAGCCAGCCCCCTCCTGGCCGGCGTCCTCAAAACGCAACATAAGCGAGAGTGGGCCAAGATGGGCACAACGGCGAGGGGGCCTAGTGCGGCAGCACTCGCGTGGAAGAGCGGCAGGTGACAGGCAGCGTGCGTCCCGCGCGCCCGCCTGAGCGCGAGCGTACCCTCTCCCCCTACCCCTGCCCCTGACCCCCGCCCCAGGACGCGCGGCTGTACCTCGACCCTGTGCGTGAGTGCTACGAGGCTTACGTAATATACAACTTCTACGCTTACCTCATGAACTTCCTGGAGGTGCGTACGCGCGCATGTAATCATGGGTAGAGGTTCCTGGGTGGAAGGGGTGTGGGTGTGCGCATATGCGCGCTTATGAGTGTGCATATGTGTGCGTGTGTGGATGTGTGTGCGAAAGAGAGCATCTGTGAGGGAGCATGCGCATGTGCGTGCGTTTTGTGAGGCGTCTGCTTGTGTCAGTGTTTCTGTTTTGAGCGCGCGTGTGCATGCGCATGAGTGTGTGTTTCAGATCTGGATGTGTGTGCGTGTCTGTGATGGCAAGGGGGAGGGCAGGAGGGCAGGTGTAGGGAGAGACCGCACATCTACCTTGCAGGAATATTCCGCCAGCCCGGAGGCACACAACCTGCGTGTGAGTACCCCTCAGGGCCTTGCAAAAATGCCGGCCATTTGGGAGTCGGAAGGGCACAGTCAAACGCCAGTCAAACCCCTGTCAAGCCTAGTGGCTGCGCCGCCCTCCAAGCGCGAGCCTCCCTGCTCTCCCCCTCGGCGCGCCAGGACGAGCTGGGCTGCGTGGACGAGTACCTCGCGCACAAGGCCCCGATCCCGCACCTCTGGCCGCTGTCAAAGTGAGCGTGCGGCGCCTCGCCAGGGCAGGCACCCCACCCCTGCTTTCCCCTCGTTCCCCTCGCACGCCGCTGGGACCCGCCCTGCCGCCCTGCTGGCTGCGGAGCGCGGCCCTGCATTCGAGTGTTTGCGACCTGCGCAGCTCCCCTCGCTGCAGCAGCATTGAGCATCACGACCTTCTGGACGCTTGCACCGCGCGTTGGTATCCCACAACCAACAATCGCACCCGCCCGCGCGGCGCCCCCGCCCCCACCAGGTGCGTGCAGCCGTGGAAGATGGGGTCAGACTACCTTTGGCAGACCAAGAAGGTGCGCGAATTTGCCCGCATGGTGGCGCATGCATGGGATGGAGGCGGTTGGACTGCCATGGCTGTTGTGTGCGTTGGTTTCTACGTTGATGCGCCGCGCACGCGAGCATGTGTGTGTGTGTGTGTGTGCGTGTGTGTGTGTGTGTGTGTGCGCGCGCGCGCCGCACACGCGAGCGCCTTCTTATATCTGTGTGCTGCAAACGCGAGCGTGCATGTGTGGTCGAGGGTTGGGGCCTTTGTTCGAGGTCCTGGCAGGGCGGCGGCAAGCGTTGCTTGCCAGCAACGCTGCTCCGCCTTGCAACGCAGCCACACCCATTGCAGCGACAGGCCACTGCACATCAATAGAGCCTCCACCTGCAAAGCATCAAAGCATCAACGACTTCCCGCCTCACCCCTCTCCCAAAAAAAGCCAGCCCTCACTCCCCCCACCC